GTCTTACATATTCCTGAGATGCTATCCAGGAATCTTTACTATTGTCTCCATGCAAAGTGTTTAATATCTATAAGGCTGTAATTTCTTCAACAAGCACCTCTTCCTTGGCCCCAGGTTTACATATACTTTTCTGGACAAACTGCAAGTTTTTAAGATCCTTTAGCTCTGTTTTCTCCTCCCAATTCTCATAGTAAATCTGGCTAAAAGCTTCCAGGAGTATCTAAGCCCCTGCCTTAATGCTCTCCTGACTTAAATTATTTTCCTCCACAAGATTAATTAGTCCATCACTTTTAAATTCACATGAAGTCTCAGAATGTGGGGAAAATGTAGCCAGGTTCATTGCAAGAATGTGAGTGGCCTCTAGTCCATTTCCCAGTAGGGTCTTACTTCCCTCTGAAACCTCATGAGCACCATCCATATTTTGCCCACTTTCTGGTCTTCTGAGCTCCTGCCAGATTCACCCAGTCAGCTCAGCTTGCAACATTCTAAAGCTTTTCCAGATTGCATATTAAACTTTTCCAAATTCCTCCTGCCAGCCAACTCCAAAGGTTAGTCACCCCTGTACTCCTGGTACCAACTTCTATTGTAGTTAGCTTTTTATCACTGTGACTGGAACACCTGACAACAAACACTTAGAGAAGAAAATTTTTATTTTGGGTTTATGTTTTTAGAGATCTCAGTCCATACACAATTAACTCTATTGTTCTGGACCCAAGATGGGGTGGTACATCATGGGGTAAGGGCCCAATAGAGGTGAATTGCTCAGTTTAAAGAGTGTCAGGAAGAGTGGGGGGGGGAGGAGAGAGAGATAGAGATTGGGGGAGGGAGGAAAAAGAAGCCATTGAACACTGAAAGATCAACCATTCCAGGGTACACTCCCAGTGATCCACCTTCTCCAGTCATGCCCCCACTGCCTACATTTAAATTAGGATGGACTTAAGAGGTTATAGCTCTCATAATATACCTGTGAATATTCCTGTATTAACAAAAGCTTTTGGGGGATATCTTATACCCAAATCATAACAGTGACATTGGGCAAATACCCATTTCTTTTAATTGGTATCTAAGGAGTCATACATAGAAATAAGAGGCTTTATAACTAACGCATTCTGTATTTTCATTGCTCATTGAGCATTTCTCCATATATGCATAAGGAAAAGCAATATGGTAATCATTTTAATAGTGAATGTTTTCTGATAAACCTAGGTAACCATTAGAGTTCCCCAGAGATAGATGTCATTCTTTAAATGAATTTTCTTTTTTTATATTAATAAAATGGTTTATTTGTCCATTCTTCAGTTGAGGTCAGTTGTGGGCTATTTAAAATCAAGCTGCTTTCAAATCTTGTTGCACATGTCTTAACATTGTCTTTTGGGAGACCAAAAACATTCATTCTTGTTGGGAGGGATCCTGGGTCCTAGGTACTTGCATGTTTAGGTTTAGATGTCTTTGCCACCATTACAAGGTGGTTGTCCCACCAGCAATGTATGAGAGTTACAGTTAATCCATAAATTCAAAAACTACTGTCTGTCCACGGAATGTCAGCCATCTGAGTATACACCTGGATGTATGTGGTATTTATAACTACTCTGCTATGTAATGGTGTTTACCATGTTTTCTTATGTTTCTTGGCCATTAGAATGTTCATTTTTGAGAAACATCTATTGAAGTCTTGACCATTTTTGGATATAAGTTTCTAGAAATACAGCTCTTGGGTAAGAGAACTTTCTTGA